AGCACTATGAATATTTACAAAGTATTTAAATGACTGTTAATAGAACGGATAAACTAAATGGCCATTATTTTTTGCAATAAGTTTTGGATATGATACATTAAAAAAAATTTTCTCCAAGAAGTCTGGCTAAAATTCCATACCAGATTAAACTTCCTGCCAGATGGAATCAAGACGCCACATTTCTTAAGGGCCAGAAATCTGGCCCAGTATTCTCTGTTCTAACCAAGAACTAGAGCTGTTTGTTTGCAGCAGTCTCCAGATAGATATTAAAACTGGACCTTTCCCGTAGATTTTGTAACTCTATTGAGAAAAACTTTAAAATTTGGCCAGATGGGGCTATGGTTCCTGATAGCACATCAATCTTTCAGGGCCCTCATTAGCTGTTTACCCCAAATTCCTTAATTCATATCAGTGTGGTCTCTAAACAAACTCAATCTTGCAGAGTAATTTACGCAGTAATTTACAATCTGGAGATTACCCTTTTTTTCTAGTCAATAACATTAAGCAACTTGTGTTCAAAAAGCAACTATGCCAATGGGCAGCTAGAACTGTAATCTTAGAACTGCAAACCTTCTGAAAGTTAAACTAAATACTTCTATATCCATTCACTAAGGTACAGATACTATTAAATTTTAATGATTCTTGAGGAAAATGCAAGCAAGTAGGCAGTCCATAAAAAATGCAAATTGTCCCCAATCCTTAAGGCAACAGATTATCTGAACTCAAAGGACTGTCACAAAATGTTTCAATAAATAAATTCCTTCATGTTAAAAAAAAAATCTCCAATAACATCTGTTGAGTGCCTACTATGTGGCTTGGCATTTTACAGCTAGAATTGCTAATCCTCACAACCAGCAAGGTGGGCATTACCTTTCCCTTCCTACAGAGGGAGAAACAGGCTCCCAGTCCTTACTCATTAGCTCGAGGTCCCGAAGCTGTGTACGTGCCACAGCTAGAACTAAACCCACATCTCATGGGCTCCAAGTTCTCCCACTATACCAGGCTACTCTAAATGTATTATTTTCTGAAACTGCTAAAGTTTCAGAAGATAAAGCTGTTAATTGTAGGATTTAATTTCATATTTCTTTTTTCTAAATATGGGGAAAACAGGAGTTTATATGTGATTGAACCTTTTACAAGATATTTTACAACTTAAAAAGAATTTTAATGATCATTGTCTAATCCTCATTTGTTCGAGAAACTTTTATTGATGCTTATTCTGGTAGACATTGTATTAATACTAGAGAGACAGAAATGAATAACATAGAGTTTCTACCCTCAAGGTGTTCACAGTCTAATGAGACTATTAAAAAAAAAATAACAGTATCCCCCTTTTGTAGAGGAAGAAACTAAAGGCTGGCAAAGCTTAAATGCCTCGCCCTTAGTTTGTTTCCAGGATGGAGAGGACCTGAACCGAGATTCTTCCCATCACACTTCAGTGACTCCCGCGCCCCCACCTCCACACTCAGTTTCCTAACCATGCTCTCCATTATTGTTCCTCTCCATATTCAGTAATGCTTGTAGAAATCTGCGAGTTTGAATTCATCCTGACAAGTATAGCAACAAGACTAATGATTTTAATGCATACAGAACCCACTAGGCCACTGTTTTTAAAAACATGTAATAACCCCACAAATAAACTGACTTTTCTTATTACTTTAGGCTGCTTCAATCTTAAGTTGCAAAAATTCCGAGAAGCTGCAAATACTTTCAAAGAAAGAGCAGGATAAGCGAGGCTAAAGGAGAATTTTTAATGTTCTCTTTCATCATCAGGGCAACAGAAGGTCATTCTAATAGAGAATGCATTTCTGTGAGGAGGTTCCTATCCTCAGAAATGCCCCTGTGAATATAAAATTGTTATTCAGCTTATCTCATTCATTCACTGAATGATAGTAAGCCAAGACTTTGTGCTGTGAGTATCAAAATGGATATGAGATGAAGCCCCTGCCCTTAAGGAGCTCTCTGTTGGTGAGAGAGAGAAACAAATTACTACAAAGGAATGATTAGCTCTATTTGTGGCAAACGGGGACAGCTTCCTGAAAGCTAAGGCATGAAAAGGAATTTACCAAGTAGATAAGGTGGGCAGGAGGGGGAGGGCAAGGAGAGAATGGTGACGGTGGGCATAGAGTACAGTATGTGCAAGATGACCTAACTTAGAATTAAAAGTATTAGCTAATGTGCTTGCTCCGTATTCATCACTTGGAAACTGAGCATATCACTACCACATGGAACTTTTGTTATTATTCATAGCTCTTTTTGAAACCAATTCTATCTAGCTTTTTGTCCCTACTACTCCACTGAAACTGATTTTGTGGTGATCACCAGTGACTTGCATGTTGCCAAATTTAATCCAGTAGACACCTTCAGTCATCATCTTACTTGACCTCACAGTAATAGGACATAGCTGACCGTTCCTGCATTTTGGCTATATTCTTTTCTCGAGAAATTCCCTCCACCTCTCTAGCCCCTCTTCCTCATCCCCTTTGTCAGATACTCCTCCTCTACCTGATCTCTAAAAGCTGAAGTTCCTCAAGGCTCACTCCAGCACCCCCTTACTCCCTCCACTCCTGTAGCTTTAAATACCACCCACATGCTCATGACTTCCAAATGTGTATCTCCAAGCTAAACCCCCTCTGAGCTCCAGTCTTGTAAATCCAACTGCTTCCTTGATATCTCCACTTGCAAATCTCTCAGGCATCTCAAAGTTAACAAGCTCAAAAGTGCAGCTTATTATTTCAACCACTCTCCCTAAAACCTGCTTGTCCCCTCGTCATTCCAGTTATGACCCACTATTCACCTGGAAGTCATTCTTGCCCCTATGTCCGGTCACCAAGTTCTGTCAGCTCTACCTCTGCCTACTTTTCCACATCTATCTCTGCCACCAACACCCTAGTCCAGAACATCATCTTCTTGCACCTGGACATCCACTCTCCAGCCCTCTATCCCCAGTACATTCTCCATACAGCAGCTACAGTGATAGTTGAAATCATTTTATTCCCCTGCTTACAGCCCTTCTGTGACGGTCATCAGTTCTTTCACAAATATTCCAACTCCATTCTCTCCTTCTGGTACATGGTAAGATTCTGAAGTTATATAGGGCATGTGACTTTCTTTGGACAATGAAATGGGAGCAAAAGTGATATGTATCACTTCTGGGTGCAAACTTTAAGAGCCCACGTGTACTTCACCTTTTTCTCTTCCTTTGCCATGATGATCACAATGCTCTCTGGAGAGCACATGCTCCATTAGCCTGGGTTCTACACTTAGGATATGACAGCAAAGTGGATATGCAGCATGAGTGAGAAATAAACGTACAGAAAGCTACACCTTCAACAGATCCCAAATGCCTTACATAATGATTCCAATATATGAATGGAATGATTCCAAAATTCCAATATAACTGGCTCCTGTGTATCTATCCAAACTCCTCTTGGGCTTGTCCAAGTCCCTTTCCACCCTTTTATGCAATGTTCTTTGCATGGTTCACTCTTCAACCTTTAGATCTCAGCTTAAATATTACCTCCTCGGAGATGTCTCCCTTAACTACTTTATTGAAGAAGGCCCCTCACTGTCATTCTCCATCACAGCACCCTGACCATTTCCTGCATGGCACAACACAGTCTGTAATATTATTAATCTCTTTGATTGTCTCTCCCACAAGACTGTAAGCACCACGGAGGGAAGGAAGGGCTCACCACTATCTCCACTGCCTACCACTGTACCCTCGATATAGCACCCTATATATGGTAGGTGCTCAATAAATACTTGTTAAATGAATGAACGAATGAATCAAGACTCAAAAAATGACACACAAGAAAACACTACAGACATCACATCACATATCACAGAGGCAAGAGGTGGTGGTGGTGTTGGGGACAGGAAGGGAACTCACATTTACTGAGTGACTATGATGTACCTGACAATAATTTAGGTACTTTAGATTCTCAATAACCCAAGGAGGTCAATATTAATATCTCCACTTTATAGGTTAGGCAATTGAGGCTCAACCTGCTCAAGTTACTGGCAAAACCAGTAAGAGCAGCAGTTTTAACTCAGCACTGTTAAGCTCTTTCTCCAAACCATGATGCTTCCCTACAAATTAAACAGCTACTGTATTTCATCACTAAGTAAGATTCTATTATACATGTAAATTGCACTTATATAGGAATACATTTCTACCCCAAGAACCAGTTTCTGTTTTTCTTTTTTATTTGTTTTGGTTTTTTTGGCTCATCCTAAAGCCTTTTTCAGGTATCTCTTGTTATCTGGGACAAGTGAAGGCAGAATGATGCAGCAAATCCAGACTACGGATAAATCAGACATTTTGTCAGAACTTTTTTCTTGAAGTCTTTTTCTTCTCAGAGTAAGAAGCTACTATGATTAGGAAGTAGGTCTGTGTTCTGATTTCATTCTGTGGGACTTGAGATCAACTTATATTGGCTTAATTTACTGTCTTACCCCATCACCAAATGCTATTCTGCTGGTCACAGAACAGGAAAAGCTGAATGGTCTAAGGAGATCTGATCCACAGTCCTGATCTGACTAGCACAGGCTCCAAGTATCTGAACACACAAATGAAACCATCTGGCTTCTTCCCTCTGACCACCTTAGGGTGAATGTGTTAACGATAGAAAGGTGGGGCCTGGATAACGCCCAAACGGTTCTGCTGGGCTCTGAGCAGACTCACAGGATTATCAGAGCAGAAGGGACCTTAGAGACCATCTACGCAAATCCCCTCTTTTAACAGGCTAGCAAACAGGTCCAGGCAGGTGGTTATTTATTTGCCTAAGAGAAGCAAGACTCCTGGCTCCTAGTCAAGTGCTCTTTCCACTACGATACTCTGCACCTCCCTAATCAAGAACTAGTGATATGTCAAAGTCATCAGTAGATAACATCTAGATAACACAAGAGTGTAAATTCCCCAATGTTTCTCTTACTCTCCATCATTTAGAAAACCCTGAGCAAAAAGAATATACACAGTAAAAACAAAGGAGATCTGGAAGAGCTATTTTAATTTTCTATTAAACATTCTTCCAAAGGCATTATTTTACGCCATATCTTGCTGGGTTATAAGAAACATTAGCATTAGAGAAACTAGGAAGAAAGATAAATTAAATGTGGAAATTAATTAAACCAAACTTATATGAAAAAGGACAATTACAACAAAGGACTGAGGGCTTTACAAATTTAATTAAATTAATATGAGATTATAATTTGAAAACTGTGCATCTCAAAGCAAATTTTATTTGTTCAATTATTTTTAACAGCAGCATTTTATGACTCTAATACACTGATTTTTCAAGAAGGAAACCCATTTAAAAATATTTTTATTTTAAAAATAGGCCTGTGTTCAGCTATAGATCATATTTCTTTTATTTTGATTTGGGAAGAAAATACTGTTTTGATGGCATGAAATGCAAAATTTAAAAGTTTTTTTTTTTTTTTTTAAAAACATCCCAGTACAGAATTTTAAAAACTCTTAATGAAAAATAGATTAAGGTCATTAAGTGTACAACACTAATTACTGGCCAGCTACTGTTTTTCTGTTTCTTCCCTAGTTCTCCCAAGGAAAACTTAAATCGAATCTTCAGCAGAATAATCCTTAAATATACTTTATAAGCAAAATGAGAGCTTTTGTTTACATAGTTTTTGGATTTTGCTGTTCCTAATTTTATTCTGAAACTCAATTTTACCCCAAACCATAATTACTGTATTAACTTTGTAATGCACAGTTGTATGCAATTCAGCAAAGCAGTAGTATACCATCAGGCTCCAATCAACCAGAGCTTAGGAAAAATAGGATTGGTCACACCCATTGAAAAACAAATCTGACGCTATTTGCCCATGTGTAGTTTCAGTCGAAGTTCTGACAAGGAAATATATGGATATCCTGATTCTCAAAGGTAGGCAAAGGGAGTGCTTCACAGCTTAGCTTTCTCCGGCTGAAGCTGAAGATTTTGTAACTTCATAGCCAGACCCATGTTGCCAGTGATTTTCAATTTGCCTTGAAAGAAGGCCTGTAAGTAAAGAAGAAAGAAAACTTATTATTTGGTGTTTTTTGTTTTGAGATTGGGGATATTTCTAGACTATCCAGCCCCGAGATCATTCATTCATTCATTTATTTTTTTGTGAGGAAGATCGGTCCTGAGCTAACATCTGCCAATCCTCCTCTTTTTGCTGAGGAAGACTGGCCCTGGGCTAACATCCGTGCCCATCTTCCTCTACTTTATATGGGACGCCGCCACAGCATGGCTTGCCAAGCGGTGCGTTGGTGCGCGCCCGGGATCCGAACTGGTGAACCCTGGGCCCCCGGAGCGGAGCAGGCGCACTTAACCGCTTGCGCCACCAGGCCGGCCCCCCAAGATCATTTATTTATCCTGGTCTCTAAAACTTTGTTCAAAATACGAAACTTGGCTTTCCAGAATAGATTTAGAACCAGATTCCCCAAAAGGAAGGATGTGTAAAAGCCATGCTTTACACAGAGCAGTCAAAAGGCACATCCTTCCCAAATGTCTCCTCTTAGAAACTGAGTCTGCCTTTACCTGCCTTCCTCAAAGGTGATGCATTTTCCAAATATTAGGCAAAGTGGGTTCATACTAGGTTGATTTTGTTTAAAAATCATTACATGTGGATCGGGAATATGAACTGAAATTTCCAGTAGTCTGCTGGGGGAAAAAGCACATGCATAGCACAGAAACTCGTGGGATTCCATACAATGTGGATGAAATGTCACCAATTTTTTTTAGGTCTACATGATTAAGGATTTATCCCCCACAGAGGGAGGCCAGGCAGCCTGCTGAGACTGAGGTGCTTGTGTTAACCTTTGGCTCAATCAGAAGAATCAAACCAATCCGAGGCACAGAACCACAATTTGTTCCGTTTAACAACTGCCTAGGATTAGATCACATGATGTTTGCTAAATTTATCATGTAACAAAATCCCAGGAGAACTTTAGAGAAAGAGCAAAACTGGGAACATAGCATGATTTCCCTGCTATGATCTCAGTCTTTTAACTCAATTATCAAAATACGGGAAGGCTAGATGAAAAAAGTTTCTGGTAGTCTCAGCTTTTTAAGCAAGTACATTAAGTCAGGAGCTCTCTGCCTCATCCATAGGAATGCGCAGAGCTCTTTTTCTACACCTTCTGGTAAGGGTGACTAATTCCCGTTTTTCCCCTCCTCTGTCTGGACAAACTAAATATTTCTTTCTATATGGCACACAGCCTTCTGTCTGATGATTTAAAGGTCAGGTGTCTCAGAACACAACATATTTAACATACGTCCTTTAAAAATACAGACCAGTAGTAGCTAGAAGAGAAACTCACCATCTTCCTCTTTTTTTAAATTAAAAGAGAAAATGACTTTTTATTTATTAATTACTATAGAGAAAACATGAATCTTCGTCCTTTAGAGAATCCAAACATAAGGATCATTTAATCTGGCCCCTAGGTGTTCTTTATGTGTGCTTTGCACTGAGAGTACACCGCTTTGTTTCAACTGTAGCCAAACACTGAAATGGTAATTTCTATTGCATTTAATGGTTTCCGTCAAATCCTCTACTGAGCATAAGGGAAGGCCATTAGCACATTAATAGAAAGGTCTGTCATTTTTATCTTTAATTCCTTTGGGTGCTAAGAGGTGTTCAAGAAAAATAAGCTGACACTTCGCTCCCCCAGATGGGCAGTAAACAGATAAACTGAGAGAATGAGGGGAGCTGATGTGTGAAGTCTGATCACCCTGCCAAGGAAGTGCACGGAGTGCACAGTGGATGAGGAGCAGTGGCGGGGGGAAGGAGGAGCACAGCCAGCTCCTATACTGGTGGCCTCTGTTTTGTCCAGACTTTTGGAGCAGGCTCAGTGGGTGGAAATGTCAGTGCCAATCGTGTGTATTCAGCTGAAACGTCACAGATGCAAGTCTCTCACTTGTCAAAGCATCAGCTGAAATATGCTTAGTTGCTTAGAAAAAGCATTTGAAAAGGAATACGAGTGGGAGTCAGATTTAGTTGTTGTATCCAATCTTTCCAATTACCAGGGGACCAGAGGAACAAGACCTAAAACAAATCAGGCTGCCGCATCAAAAATATAAGGTTACAATGGAAAGAAGCATCTTAGTTTCTTTTTTGTTATCTCTAGCTAAAGAAAGCTCAGTATATCAAGTCTGTTCAACACTGTGCAACTAAAGAGTATAGGAAGACCCTGACAATCTGGGGCCCAGGAAAATCTATACAAGGCATAAATATATTTTAGACAAATACAATTTAATCCAGCAACTGTTTACTGAAAACCTAAAAATGTCAGGCATAGTGCTAAGTTCTGGAGACATGAAGACAAATAAGACATAGTTTGTTCCTTTGAGACACTCACAATCTGATGGGGAAGAGAGAGGCACATTATGACTAATATAACGTGACAAGTGCTAAGCTAGCAGTCCAATAAGTGGCCCAGAAGAGGGACTGGCTACAGCTCCCCAACAATTTGGAAGGAGGTCTTTGGAGATAACATCTGAGCTAATTTTGAAAGACAAGGAGTTTGTCAGGGAAGGACAGTTCAGGCAAAAAGAGCATGGCAAAGACACGAAATGTAAGAGGTCTTACCTTTGTTCACACCGCTCCCTCCCTCCACCTGGATTGCTCCTACTCTCCATCTGCACTGCTAACTTCTGGTCACCCTTATGACTCAGCTCAAGTGTTGTGGCACCTCGGATATTCGGCTGCACTAAATCTTTTGATCTGTCTCGTACCAAATTGTGGATGGCCTGAGCATGGAAACTATTTCTTATTCATCTGGGTCTTTCCAGCACAAAGAACAGTGGCACACAGTTTGCTCCACAAACGTCTGTCATTTGTTAAGTGAACATTTTGGGGAACACTGAGTTTTGTGAGTTTGACCACTTTGCACTTGATGGTATGAGGCTGAGGCAGGAGATGAAGTGGAATGGGCTAAAAGACCCACTTACTAGAAAGATACAAGCCCCATCATACTTACCGACTGAGGATTCATTTTACCCGTCATCAAAGCCAGTAAGTCTGAGTCAGCCATTGTGATTGTGCAGTCGGCCTTCTTATCTAAAACAGAGATATGTAGGAGAAGGAAGGAGAAAAGGGGAGTGTTCAGTTTCACGTATACATTTTAGTCAAAAGCCACTGACTGCATCAGAATCACACCCAGTACCAGAGCAGTGTGGGGAAATGGGTCCTCACATACACCTCTATGTATGCAGCCTGGTAAAATGTGGCATAAATCACAAGCAACCTTGATATTTAACAAGAGGGAATTGATTAAATAAATTATGGTATTCATATAATGGGATATAATGCAGCCATTAGATGATATGGATCTACATTCACTGACCTGAAAAAATGTTCATGTTATACTGTTCATGATACTGTTATTTAAGCGAGTTACAAAACAAACTGTGAGCATGCTCCCATTTTTGCTTAAAAACAGATATTCAATTATATATGTACAGGAAAAACATCTGTAAACTTAGACACCAATACATTAATAATAGTTATTGTGGCACACAGACTCTACAGTGATCCCCATGATCCCTGCCTCCTGGTGTTCAGGCCTTTGTATGATCCCCTTCCCTCGAGTGTGGGCAGCACCTGTGACTTGCGTCTAGCCAACAGAATGTGGCAAAGGAGATGGGATGTCAGTCCTGTGGTTCTGCTACGTTATATAAGGCTCTGTCTTGCTAGCATACTCACTCTCACTCTCCTGCTAGCCTTGAATAAGCTAGCTGCCATGCTGTGACCTGCATATGGAAAGGGCCACATGGCAGGGTACCGGCCTTTAGGAGGTGAGGGCAGACTATGGCCTACAGCCAATAAAAAACTAAAGCTACCATTCTTATAGCTGCAAGGAAATGAATTCTGCCAGCAACCTGAGTGAACCTGGACATGGACCCTTCCCCAGTCAAGCCTCCAGATAAGAACCCAGCCCTGACAAACACCTTGACTGCAGCCTGTGAGACCCTATGCAGAGGACTCAGCTAAGCTGTCCTCAGCCAACTTACCATGGAAACTGTAAGGAAATAAATGTGTGCTTTGTTTTAAGCCACTAACTTTGTGGTAATTTGTTATGCATAAATAGAAAATGAATACAGTTATCTAGATCAAGGGTTAACAAACATCTTCTGTAAAGGATTAGACACTAAATATTTTAGTCTTTGTGGGCCACTAGGTCTCTATCACAACTACTAAACTTTGCTTCTGTAGTGCAAAAGCTGCTATAGATAATACATAAACAAATGAGTGTGGCTGTGTTCCAATAAGACTATTTTCAAAACAGGTAGCAAAGAGGGAGAAGAAATTTGCAATTCATATATCAGACAAAGAACTTATATCCAGAATATATAAAAAACTCCTATTACTCAATTAGAAAAGGTTAGATAATCCAATACAAAAATGGGCAAAGAAACAGGCACTGTACAAATGAGGATCTCCAAATGGCCCAAAAAGCACATGAAACAGTGTGCAATTTCATTAATCATCAGGAAAATGCAAATTAAAAGCATAGATGAGATACTACTAGTACATACTAGAATGAATGGCTAAAAAAAAAAAGATACCAGTGCTGGTTAGGACGAGGAGCGACTGAAAGGTCAGTACAATGCTGGAGGGACTGTAAAATGGTACAGCCACTTTAGAAAACACTTTGGAAGTTTCTTATAAAGAGAAACATATATATGCCATACGACCCAGCAATCCCACTCTTAGGTGTTTACCCAAGAGAAATGAAAACATATGTCCACACAAAAACCTGCATGTGAATGTTCATAGTGGCTTTATTCAAATTGCCAAAAGCTGGAAAAAACCCAAATGTGCATCAACTGGTGAATGGATAAACTACTCAGCAACAAAAAGGAGCAAACTACTGATGATACATGCGACAACATGAATGAATCTCCATGAAAGAAGCAGGCTCAAAAACTACATCCTGTATGATTCCACTTACATGACATTCTGGGAAAGGTAAAACTACAGGGACAGAAATCAGATTAGTGGCTGTAGGGACTAAGGATGAGAGAAGGGGACTAACTATACTTTTTGAGGTGAAGGAAATACCTATATCTTGATTTTTGGTGGTGGTTATACAACTATATGCATTTGTCTAAATTCATAGAATTGTACATCTAAAAAGGATAGATTTTATTGTGTGTAAATTATACGTCAATGAACCTGCCAAAAAAGAAAAACCTGACATTTCCAAGTACTGTCAAAAATGTGAAGCAAATGAAACTCTAATATAATGTGGAAGAGAATGTAAAATAATATATCTACATCAAAAAACTGTTTGGCTATCCTGTACCATATGACCTAGTATTTCTAATCCTGGTTATATGTGTAATGGAAATGAGTACAAATGTCCACTAAAAGACACATATGAGAATGTTCAAAACAGCTTTATTCATAAGGCCCCCAAATGGAAACACTGCAGAGATATATCAACCATGGAATGAATGAATGAATTCTGGTGCATTCACATGGTAAAAATGAACTATTGCTACATGCAACAATATTAATGCTGAGCAAAAGAAGCCAGACTTACAAGAGTAAACATTGTATGGTTCCATTTATACGAATTTCCAAAATAAATAAAATCAGTCCATGGTGATAGAATTCGGAATAGTGGTTCCTTCTGGGAGTGGATAGTGATGGGAGGGGACATGAGGGAGGCTTCTAGAGTGCTGGCAACATTCTGCATCTTGACCTGGGAGATGTATTCATTTGTAAGCATTGGTGAAGCTGTACACTTCAGATTTATGCCCTTTATCACAGGCTAGACTTCAATATAAATTTTACACAAAACAAAAACAAAACAACCAGTGGTGAGGTGGATTTGGCCCACGGGCCACAGTTTGTCACCCATGATGTAGATGGTGGGATTACAGGAGAGTAATTTTTTCATTTTGTTTCTCTATCTTTTCTAATTATTTTTACCCTGAGTGTATAGTACCTATATAATACAAAGTTTTTAAAATATTAACTTTAATATCATCAAACTATAAAGAAAAAAAGGCTATACAATTAAGACTCTAATATCTCATTGCTAAATCAGCCATGTCCACCTTGGACAAATGAGAGGTTTCAAGTACAAAAAGAAAATTACACCAAGAAATCAAATTTTTCAGCAGTCAGTGTTTTAGGCAAACAATATAACAACAGTTCTCTAACAGCTGGCTCCTCCTCAAATTAAAGTTGGCCTCTCCCCGAAACCAAGTCACCTTCTATCTCACTATTCTGTTTTATTTTTCTTCATTGCCCTTATCTGAAACTACCTTACTTATTTGTATATGTATTTTCTGTGTGTATTTGTCCACCAGAATGAACACTTCACGGGCAGGGCCCTTGTCAGTTTTGTTCGCTGTTACATCCCCAGGTCCTTGAAGAGTGCTAGACACATAAAAGGCAATCAATAAATGCCTGGTGAATAAATAGGTAGATTATATATAGTTCAGAAGATTATCAAATTATGACCCAAGAGCTAATCAGATAATCTGTGCCTTAATAGAAGAGATATGGGTTGCTATGGTCTAAATGTTCGTGTACCCCCAAAAACTCATATGTTGAAGTCCTAATGACTTCATGGTATTAGTAGGTGGGGCCTTTGGGAAGTCCTAAGGGTGGAGCCCTAATGAATGGGATTGGTGCCTTATAAAGGAGGCTCCAGAGAGATCTCTAGCCCCTTCCACCATGTGAGCCCACAGCGCGAAGGCACTGGCTATGAACCTGGAAGAGAGCCCTCACCAAACGTGACCATGCTCGTGTCTTGACCTTGGACTCCCAGCCTCCAGAACTGTGAGAAATAAATTTCTGTTGTTGATAAGATACTCGGTCTGTGGTAGTTTGTTACAGCAATCCGAATGGACTAAGGGGTAAACTGTTAGAGAACAGCATGCCCATATTATTAAATAATTACAAGAAGATTGAAAATTAAAAGTTTTATTCTATATCTTGGAACTCAGGGATAGTCCCTAAAAAGACTGTGATTCAATGGCCATTCCATCTTTGCCTCTAACAAAATTTTCTCTTATTACTGGAAAAAAGGTCTGAAGCTTTGAAAATGAAAGAATTTACAGCTAGAAAATCCAATTCTCTTATAGATCTACAACCTCAAAGAGCAGGGAGGAAAAAAAGCTAGCAAATTGAGATAACAGAACTTGATTTATAATTGGACTTGATCTTAATATTGCAAGAAAGGACTCGCAGTCACTGAAAGGTAACTCTAGGAAGTGAATATCAGCCTTTACCGAGCTCTCACTATGCTGAGCGCTTCACATACATGGACTCATCTGATCTTTACAACAACCCTATGAGGGTCAGAGAAGTCAAACAAGTTGCCCAAGATCACACAGCTAATAAGTGACTGAGCTAGGTCTGAAAGTAGATTCCTGCTGCTAAAGCCCATACTCCCAGCTCCTAAGCTCTATGGCTTCCTCCTGTTACAGGAAGGATACAAACCTTCAACAGCTCAGTTTTAATTGAGCCTTCACCAATTCATCAGCATCTGGTGAATCTCAGATCTTTCTCAGTTCCCCAAGTTCTTTTGAGGAGTCTTAGACAAGTCTGATGGGTTCGAGCAAAATTAATGTTTTATATATGGGTTGGGGAGAAAGCAAGGATTTACTGAGCACTTACTATGCATAAGCACTTTACATACCTTATCTCATTTAATCCCCACAACAACTCCATGGATAGAAATTATTCTCACCATTTTCTAGATGAGACCACTGGACTCAGGGAAGGTATACACCTAGTAAGTGACAGAGCCAAGGTCTGAACCCAGCTTGGGTATCTCCAAAGGCTATGTTCCTTCTACTGTACCTTGGGGATGGGAGACTCTGAGGCTTTCTATATCATGTTCTCCACAAAGAGGCAGGGTTGAGAACTCAAGTTAAGTGCAGAGAGGGCAGAATAAAGGAATGAAAGAACAAGTGTCATGTTAGATTAATCAAAGTTGGCTTCCTGGAGACATGCTATGTGAGTCGTTTCAAAGGAGAGGAGGGAGGGGCAGAATTCACGCAGAAAGGCACCTAGAGAGGAAGAAAATATTATGGAAAACTCACAAAATCTAAAAGTCCTTAATATAACCATCTATATAATCATTACCAAACTCTTAGAATATAAGCAAATGAGATACATTTAAGTAAATCTTACCTCATTAACAGTAAGTAAACCTCTCAACACTATGTACAAGCCAAAAGAACTAGCAATTCTCTTTAAGATGCCAGTTCAAACTAGGACAGGTTATCAATACTTTAACATAGCTGATCTCTAACAAATGGTCATTTGTTGGCTGATGTAAAAGGAGCTGGCAATTTCCAGGCGTAGCTTTTACCAGGTAAGTCCACATTTCAACACCACTCTTGGCTGCCAACAAGTGTCAGTTTCAGCAGAAATTTCCCTGCTCCAGGGTAAAATCCCTCCAGGCCTGGGATGGGGCACCAATGTGGGGAGAGCTCTGTACTGCCAGAGTACACATGCAAAGAACAAGGTTTTTCTGAAACTATGCTCAATAGCTTTCCATAAGCATATTATCTTGCATGACAAACACATACCAGTAACAAAATAGAAGAAATTTTTTTTTTAAAAAATCACCTTAACATCTGCCTGAGCATACTGGAATATAATACTGAAGTAAGGGCTGGCCCCGTGGCTTAGTGGGTAAGTGCGGGTGCTCCGCTGCTGGCGGCCCGGGTTCGGATCCCGGGCGCACACCGACGCACCACTTGTCCGGCCATGCTGAGGCCGCGTCCCACAAACAGCAACTAGAAGGATGTGCAGCTATGACATACAACTATCTACTGGGGCTTTGGGGGAAAAATAAATAAATAAAATTATTAAAAATTATTAATACTGAAGTAACTATTAACCTCAGTCATTAAAAAATTAGCACTATTTTCCAAAAATTCTTTTTATTTTTAAAAGCTAAAATCTAGATGAAATATTTAGTTTTTCTTCCTACACCACATTAGAGTGGCAGCCCATAGAATGCAAACATATAGTTATTTTTCTGCCCACTCATTTTGAGGGGGAAAAAAAGACTATATGAAATTCAGGTACTTTCCACAACAATGCCATGCTGCCCACACCAGATGTCCTTACCACCCCTCAGCCTTTCCCTCATTAATCTCTGGTTGATTCCTTATTCAACAGCACATATAACACTGCTATTAACATTTTCTCCTGTCTCCAAGCTCTAAATTCTATTCGAAGAGCTCTGTCAACCCCCTTTCTCCCTTAAAATGCCCCTGAATATTTATCTACCCTCTCAGAGAAAGAAGTATGCATCCCTCCTTCCTAAGGCTCACCCTCCTTCCACCTGCGCTCCTATGTCATCCTCTCCTCCAGAACCTCTCTCTGTAATGTATCAGTAATGAAACTCTACTATCTTTGATACACTTCCTTCTCCTACACAGCTTCCAGATCCCATCAACTTCACCCCAAATATCCCTGGCCATGTAACAACATCCTTTTTTCTCACTGCCAACACTCAGGCTATCCTTTCTGCTCACTTAGACAGTAGCAACATTCATCCTCCTAACTGCTCTCTCTGCCTCTGATTTCTGCCTTTCCAATTCATCAGGTCTGATGCACCAGCTTCATCTTCTACAACATAACTCTGACTTTCACTTTTCTACTTAAAAACCTTTAATGGATTGATTATATATCAAATCACTTTCAAAGTTCATAGCATGGTATTTTAAGTCCTCCAAAAAGCTAGTTCCCATCCATCATTATTTCTTAATTGCACCAGGCTCTCTCCTACAAGAGAAAGGTAACATACAATGTAGCTACCAGTTACTGAACGCTTGCTAAGCATCATTCATTCATTCTGCTGTTCATCTTTGAATTATTTATTTTATTGAAGGCCTACTATGTATCAGGTACTAGTCTAGGCACTGAGAATGAAGCAGTGAACGTAACATGCAAAAAGCTCTGCCTTCATGCAGCTTACAATTCAAGTAGGGGAGATGGACAATAAGCAAATAAATAAGCAAGATTTATATGGTGTATCAGATGGAGATAAGTGCTATAAAGAAAAATAAGGCAGAAAAGGACAACCGGGAATGGTAATGGGGGTGTGATTTTAAATGTGTGGTTAGGGAAGGGCTAACTGAGCAGGTGATAGTTGGGCAAAGATCCAAAGGAAGTGAGGGAACAAGCCATGAGGATATCTAAGGGAAGGAATTTCAGGCAGAAGGACAGAGGAGAAAGCCCTGAACTGGGAACACCTCACGTTTAAGCAATAACAAGGAGGCCAGTATGACTGGAGCAAAGTGAGGGAGAGCGTGGTAAGACAGACAAAACTCGGGCCAGGTCATGTGGTACCACTGTAAGAACTCTGAGCTGAAAGCCACTGGATGGTTTAGAGCACAGGAGGGTCACCATCTGACAAGTTTTCAAATGATCACTCCAGCTGGTGTGTGGAGAAGAACTTGTAGGGGGCAAGGTTAGAAACAGGGAGACCAGGCAAACAAATGATGGAGACTTAGACCAAGGTGGCAGGAGTAGAGGAGGACAGAATTTGCTGGTGGATTAGACCGTGGAGTGGGAGAAAGAGGAGCCAAGGATGACTTCAACGGTTTTGGTCTGAGGAACTGGTACGATAGAAGAGCAATTTACCGAGATGGAGAAGACAGTGGGAGGAGTACATAATTAAAGGGGAGTAGGAGGAAGATCAGTTCAGTTTTATACATGTTAACTTTGGGATACCTATTAAATATCTGAGTAAACTTGTCAATTAAGCAGCTGGATATACACCTTAGAGTTCAGCAGCTGAGTCCACGCTGAAGATATCTGGGAGTCGTCAGTGTAGAGATGGCTTTAAAAGCATGAGACTAGATGAGATCCCCAAGGAGTGAATGTAGATAGAGCTGAGCCTTGCAGCACTCCAACGTTGAGAAATTTGAAGATGAGGAGAAAACAGGAAGAGAGGCCAAGAAGGAACAGCCAGCAGGTAAGAGGAAAGCCTGGAAGTGTAATATCTTGAAGGCTGGGAATTAACCAATGAATTTAGCAACATGGCAGTCACTGGTGACCTTGACAAGAATAGTTTTAGGATAGTAATGAGGACAAAAGCTGACTGGAGTGGGTTCAAAAAAGACTGGGATGAGAGGAAGTGGAGACAGTGAGTATAGATAGGTCTTTTGAGGCCACATAACCATACACTAGACCACGTGCTTTACAGGTTAATTAAGAGATAATTCTCTTAATCCTTGCATCAACCCTATGAAATAGGTACCATTATCTTATTCCCATTTACAGATGAGAAAACCCGAGGCTCAGAGAAGTTAAATAATTTGTTCAAGGCCAGAATCTGTGAGTGGCAGGGCCAAGACCCCAACCCAAATCTAATTCCAAAGCTTAAGATTGGTGACTCTGCGATGAAGCCTCCTAATCTTTGGGAGGAGGCAGCGGTGACCTATTCCTGTTCCCAAGGATTCACTAGTTCTTTACCAAGGTCCTATACCTCTAAAGCCAGCCCTCTTGGGGAACACCACAGCAGACCCCCATTTTCTTCTGTGAGCTTGTCAGTGCTCCTATAAGTGAAGTCACTACTGCACTGACCTGAGTTAGGAAGCACTGAACCTTTGCCGTTCTTCACGTCCACCACCCAGGTGGCCTCTTTACCACCAGGGCCATCCTTCACCTTGAAGGCAAAAATACCACCGATTTTCTTCACAAATTGTTCCCCTTCCTGGAAAGAAAAATAACACTGGGAGTTATATTAAGTTCATTTCTCTGGCTTTTTCCCCAAATTAAATGTTTAAATAGATACATGACAGGAGCAGCTGGGCCAGCAGGCAGTCCCCAACCTCCCTTAGGATCTTTTACCCAGAAAAGTCTGAAAGACAACGAGGCAACAACTCCCTCATCTGCCAAATTTTTTGTTAAAAATGACTTTCTGGATACAACTGGTGGAAGGAAAAGAGAGGATGGAGGGTGGCACAGCAGCCTTTTCTACTGAAATAGCCTTCATCTCAGTAATTTCTGAAAGATTCACTCTGGCCTCTCTAAATGTAGGAACCCCACTCCCTCTTTTTTTCCACAGGTAAATTCCTTTACATATATTTTTGGTTTCCCACAATCAGAACTTAAAGATAAGTGGTTCTGAGATGGAAGTCTTATTTTGTGGTCAACCCATTTTCTGGACTAGTATAAAGAATTAGACAAGTAATATACCATCCACCACTTACTTTTGGATCTTGGGGAACTAAGCAGGAAAAATCACCTCAGATCCACATCTCTGTAGGTTGGTTTTCCTTCTCCCTCTCTCTCCCCTTCATTCCTACTCTGTTTCATCTTTCCTTACTGAAAAATTTATTGATTTAAACAATGATTCGCACCAGACATTGTTCTAGGCACTGAAATATAGAACTAGGAGTTAGCAGGGTAAATGATAATACACTATGACAATACACTGGGAAAAAGGGAAGCACGGGAGACTACAGGAGCACAGAGGGGGAGCTAAGCTAAGCCGGCTGGCAGCGTGAATAACGAAAGGATGACAAGAAACTCACACACCTTTTCAAAAACCGTAAACCAAAAACAACACAATAATTTTATTGCAATTATTTTTCTTTAGAGAAGAAACACATTTTACTGTGGGAAAAACAGAAAATATCGATAAGCAAAAAGAAGAAACTAAATCATTCATAATTTCACCACTCAGAGAAAATAATATTTTGATATAAATCCCCTCCATCTTTTTTCTTTGCATATATTTTTTAAATGGGATCATACTGTATACACTGTTTTGTAATCCACTTTTCTGTTTGATATAATTATTCTCATTACTGTGTCATCAAATATTTTTCTACATAATTTTAAATGACCACATATAGTCTTTAATTGTAGAAGTATACTAGACTTTATTTAACCAATACTCTATTGCTTGATATTTAGGTTAGTTCTAACTTTTGGGTCTTATAACAATGCTGTGAATAATAAGATTCTTACATCTAAATATTTCTACGTAGCCTCATTTATTTAAGGTTAAATTCCTAGAATTAAACTTTACTAATTAATAACACTGAATCTGCAATCAGCATAGGTTTGAATTCCTGCTCTGCCACGTATTTATATAACCCAGAGCAAGTTACTAAACCTCTCTGAATCTCAGTTTTCTTATCTGTGAAATGCAGACAATAACAGTAGCTACCCTCATAGAGTTGTATGGTATTTAAATACCCACAAAGCACAGAGTAATTGCTCAATAAATGCTACCATTTCTTTGTTGTTGTTATTTTACTTAATGATCTGTCTGCTACTCCTGTGCCAATATTATAACTTTGTAATGTAAGTTACTCTTTGGTACAGTAAATCTCCTTCATAATTCCTCTCTTTCAAACATTCTTGGCTATTCTTAGATTTGTTTTAGACATTTTTTCCCTCTACATGCACAATACAATCATTTAGTTAGTTCTTCCCCCAAAAATGCTCTTGGATTTAGATGGGTTTACATACAATATGTGGATCTGTTTGGGGGAGAAGTAATATCTTTACAATATTAAGTTCCCCTTTCCATGAATATGGTATATCTTCAAGTTTTCTTTGACGTCCCTTTGCAATATTCTGTCATTTTCTTCCCACATAGGCTTTTGTACATTTCTTGCCAAGTTTATTCTTAGGTATTTTATACTTATATTGCTCTTGTTAACAATATATTTTTTCATTATATTTTATGACTGGGTTATTGCAAATATATAGAAAATATATTAATCTTTGTATATTTATTTTGGAACTGGCTACCTTTTAAGTTCTCTTATAATTTCTAATAGTTTTTATCTCCCACCTTCTTTATTTCAGCCTGACAGCCCACAATAACTTATATCCAAGATTCTTCCTTTTGGTATCATAATATTCATTCTTTAGCAAAGATTTAAGTGTTTACTATGTTCAGGCACTGTGATAAGTACCTGAAATACCCAAATAATTATTATCCCTGAGGAGCTTGCATAAACTGACATCAGATACTAACCTCTGTTTCTATGTATGCAGAGAGCCTGGCCTAAGTTCTTTCTTCCTTTTTGTTGTGTTTTCTTTGTCTTACAACAGTTTTATTGAGATATTTACATACCATAAAATTTATCCTTTTAAAGTGTATAATTCAGTGGTATTTTAGTATATTCAGAGTTATGCAACCAACACCACTATCTAATTTTAGAACATTCTCATCACCCCAAAAAGATCCATACCCATTAGCAGTCACCCCCCATCCTCCCCTCCTGCTAGTCTCTGGCAACCATTAATCTACTTTCTGTCTCTGTGGATTTGCTTATTCTGGACATTCCATATAAATGGAATCGTAAAATATGTGGTCTTTTGTGACTGGCTTCTTTCCCTTAGCATAGTGTTTTTAAGGTTCATCCATGTTGAAGCATGTATCAGTAATTCATTCCTTTTTATGGCCAAATAATATTCTACTGTATGGATGTAGCACTTTTTGTTTAACCATATATAAGTTGATGGTTGTTTCCCCTTTTTAGCTATTATGAATAATACTGCTATAGACATCTGTGTACAAATTTTTATATGGACATAGGCTCTAATTTCTCTTAGGCATATATTTGGAAGTGAAATTGCTGGGTCATAAGGTGATGTTTAACTTTTTGAGGAACTACCAAACTGTTTTCTAAAGTGGCTGCACCATGTTACAATCCTAGCAGCAATGAATGAAGGTTCCAATTTCTCCACATCCTCACCAACACTTTTGTTTGTCTTTTTTATTTTAGTCATCCTAGTGGGTCTCTCAATCTTTTTCTTATACATAGATAACATACCTGAACTTATCTAGAATCAACCATGGGTCTTAGGACTCCAAAGAAGCTATTCTAAAAATATTTAGTCTAGGACTACCTATCTCAACAGTAATGGAGGCATTTTTCACATGTGGGTGTCCTCAAATCAACTACCTATATCTTCTAGTTAAATCAAGAAACCAAAATGATTGTCAGATTTTCAAAGTGAAAGAGAGGGCCAGCCTGGTGGCATAGTGGTTAAGTTTGCACGTTCCGCTTTGGCAGCCCGGGGTTCATGGGTTCGGATCCCGGGTGCAGACTGATACATCGCTTATCAAGCCATGCTGTGGCAGCGTCCCATATAAAGTAGAGGAAGATGGGCACGGATGTTAGGCCCAGGGACAATCTTTCTCAGCAAAAAGAGGAGGATTGGCAACAGATGTTAGCTCAGCGCTAATCTTCCTCAAAAAAAAAAATAATAATAATAACAATAAATAAATAAAGTGAAAGAGAAATTATCTTATTTTGGCTTCCCTTAAAAGATCTCACTCAAATCATTTTAAGTTAACTTTTGGAAAAATTCTTAACAACAATAATAATCTGTCAGGGGCTATCAAGTTTTCAAGTGCTTTTATTCCTTTAATCTTCATAAAACCCTGTAAGTAGCTGGACAGGTATTAATATTAGCTCATTGAGCAGAAAAAACAACTGAAGCTCATAAGGGTTAAGAACCCTTCAGACTATTCTCTATCCTGCTGCTAAGTAATCCATCCATCATAATCCATCTAACGCTAACATAATCCATTTAACACTCTCAGATTTGAATTTCTTAAATGGCTCCCCAAAGCCTACAGGATGAAGTCTGTCTTTACAAACCATTCAAGATTCTTCACAATCTGAAGGATATTTATCTATTCTTATCGTTAGCCACTTTTTCATCCTCCTCAGGCTTTATGTTCTAACAATATGATCACTTTGAATTCCATGAACATATATGCCTCCATGCCCTTGCTCATGCTGTGTCCTGGGTCACTCACCTCCTCCTATTCTCCATTCCCACCCCAACCTCATCAATTCAAGTCACAGCTCACATACTAACTCTTCTAGGCAGGCTTTTCTGTCTCTACTGGACACTTTGATGGCCCTTTGCACATGCAAAGGGCCATGTTTCTTGTTAAAGCAGTTATTTCTTTCTGGGAAAATTTTTCCATGTCAATCTTCCCACTAAACTCTTATGTTCCTTGAGGGGCAGGGACATATGGCTAGTAAGCAGTACAACCATAACTTAATCTCAGGTTGGTTAACTTCAAATTCAATGCTCTTTCCATCTGACCATACCATACTGCAAAGTAGGTTACATCAATACTTCCAACCTTTAGCCTCTGAAAGCAGTTTCTGCCACCATAAAAGAACTAAAAGAAAGTTCAAAGTCTTCTCCACTCCCTTAAGGTTCTGTGGAGACAATCTAGAAGATTGGGTTAATAATGCTGGTGTGCTGGGCCACCTAAGAGCCAGGCTTCCCTTGGGGCCTGCGGCCCATGAATGACTCCTTCCAGGTGCATCCATGCCATCTGCTTGCACAGTGCCTCAGGACTAGAGCTATGGCAGACACCAACAAGTTAGAGCAGAAAAATACTACCAAACATTTAGAAATTCTATGTGCATACTTGGAGAGAAATTCCTCCTGCCTCTTTAAGACAGATGTAGATTAATTTTGCACCTGCTGTTACTTTTCAGAACCAACAGATCCTCTTATAAAATCACATCCTTTGGTGAATAAAATCTTTTCAATTGAAGAGGGGTGAGAGAGGGTAAGGAAATGGACAAGGAGAAGAGAGTTAAAAGGGGAAAGAAAATACACATTTGTTGCGAAACTGGAGATCATTAACACTAAGAAAGTTCTAAGTGCCTTCTTGCAGGAAGAAAAGTACTTTTTTCTGAGTAGGCAAAAGGTCATGAAGTAGATCCTGTCGTACACTTAATAGGAACAAAAAATTAAGACCAAGTTCAAAGAAAGGCATTGGGGTATTGCTAACAAAGACAAAGTGGAAATAAAATCTCTTGCCAGGCTTCCTTTGCTAATGCAGAAAATGCATGAATTGACAAACGATTCAAAGACTTTCACTTTCTAGTCCTGCTAACATTTAGAAAACTGACAATCGTGGGAAGGAGAAAAGAAATAAAGGGACAAGGTCCATGCAAGTGAGGTTATGGAGGGAGGAGAAAAGAATTAAAATGGGAGCAAGAGGAACACATTTGCAAAGCTAAACGACAACTGTGAAATAAAAATAGCATGGCTCTGTTAATCCCAATAATGAGGTATTCAATGACTGACACAGAGCCATACCTGATACTCTCCAAACTAGTTATTTTTATTTGATTTTTTTTAAACAGAAATGAAGTTGAAAAAAATGGGGCAATTTGGCAGAAGCAACTATCCTATGGGTTGCTCTGCACGTAAACACTGGTGGCATGAAAAATAAAATTTTCAAGCTGAGCTCTTATAGAGTCCAACTTCATTTTAGTGGACACTTGTAATGAAAGAAATTTAAAAAAGAATAATGAGATATTTTTTTCCTACTAGATCGGCAAAGATTTTTTTAAAACCAGCCAACATAGCACTGGAGAAGATGTGATGAAAAAAGTCACTCAAGAATTGCTAAGTTGGGGGCCGGCCCCGTGGCTTAGCAGTTAAGTGCGCGCACTCCGCTACTGGCAGCCCAGGTTAGGATCCCGGGCGCGCACCGACGCACCGCTTCTCCGGCCATGCTGAGGCTGCGTCTCACATACAGCAACTAGAAGGATGTGCAACTATGACATACAACTATCTACTGGGGCTTTGGGGGAAAAAAAAAGGAGGAGGATTGGCAATAGATGTTAGCTCAGGGCTGATCTTCCTCACAAAAAAAAAAAAGAATTGTTAAGTTTGTAAATTAGTACCTCCTTTTTGCCAAGATGATCATAGCATAAAGTACTTAAAGATAAGTGTAAAAGGAAATTTATTATACTGCTGTTTTACTTGCAAAATTTAAATACAACCTGATGTTCATCATAGGAGGCTAATTAAATAGATTATGATACATACATTCAAACGTGTACTATATGGTCATTAAAACTTATGGTAAGGGTTTATATTTATGAGCATAGAACATTCTGTCCAGAGAAAAAAGTAGGTTATAACAACAGGTAGTCCCACACAGGTGTCTCCCCACAAGATGGTGGTGGGACAGGTCTGCAGCTCCTGGGCCAGTGCCTGCCTGCCCGGAACTATCAACCCTGGCCCTCTCTACCTCAGGAAGGTTGTTGATCATTATGAAAATCCTAAAAATGCAGGGTCCTTTGTCAAGAGAATCAGTCACATTAGCTGTTTTCCCACGCACAGTGTAATCCCCTTGGATGTTAAGAAGTCCTTTGTGCTACAATATGGGAGTTACAAGACATACACAATGTTTGCCTTTCACATTGTGGCTCTAAAGCAAGTGAAATACACAGCTTAAATGTTCTGAATCCTTTTCTTTATTTCAGCCCACTTTAATCAGCTTACTACATGTGTGACTGGAACTGTTTGACTGTGGCAATAACTGTGCCTTGTTGGGTCTCAAAATTAAAATCAATAATGAAATCCCAAGATGCCTTTAGGTTTGAAACAATGAAGTAAATATTTAATTTTGCCTGAAGAGAATAACTCTCTGTTTGGAGAGTTACTGTTAGATTGCCCTTAATATGATTACTATCTATCAAGAACTAATTATTATACATAAAAATAGATCTGCATATATGCATAATTTAAAAAACTCAACGTGTATTATATGATCCTAGTTATGTAAAACTGTATGTTCATATACACAGAGAGATGTCTGAAAGAATGTCAACCACTGTTAACATTTTAGTGAACACTAAGTAATAGAATTTCAGGAGATTTTTCTTTTTTATATGTTTCTGTATCATGTGAATTTTTTAAAAAATAGTATCTTTTTTTTTTTTTTTGGTGGGGAAGATTGGCCCTGAGCTAACATCTGTTGCCAATCCTCCTCTTTTCACTTGAAGAAGATTGTCCCCAAGCTAACATCCGTGCCAATCTTCCTCTATTTTGTATGTGGGACACCGCCACAGCTTGGCTTGATAAGCAGTGTGTAGTTCCACACCCAAGATTTGAACCTGCAAACCCCTGGCCACTGAAGTGGAACACACGAATCTAACCACTACGCCACCGGGCCAGGCCCTAATTAGCATCCTTTTTACAACAAGAAAAAACAAATTAAAAACTACTTTGAAAAAAATCAAGCACAAAAGATTTCTTTTTAAAAGGAGTTTTGATATTAGGTACCTTTAAAAGCTCTCTTTAAATATTATTCTTTTGAATGGTTCTAAGTAAGATCTTTATAATTCAGAAGGAAACTGCACCAAAATAAATTAGAATCCCTTTAACATATGAATTTTGTCTATAATTATTATCTCCTTGACAAAGAGAGATGGAGAAGAGAGTGATAAGGGTTAATCTTTCCTCTGAAGTTAACAGTTTAACAGCATTTTACTATAGTTCTTTATATAACTCAAATCTGGAGATTTCTACGTCTCTGAAATGCACTCTTACCAGAATTACAGGAAGCCATAAAACACACTCAATACTTGACAATATGACATAAATTTTCAACTTGTGCCACTTCATGGCAACATCTGAAATCTATATCTGCTTCCTCTAGCCTCAGGGTCCTCCTGATAGCATTTTATGTAAATATTACTTACCTCTTCAAGCTTCTTCTCAATCTCCTTAAAGACAAGATTTGCCTTAAATCCATCAACTGCAGAGCTGGTTGGTGCAGCCTCAATTTGATGAGTTCTAAAAGAACTGGGGAAAGAAAAGAATCAATTTCAATCCATGGAGTCATACAGGTATTAGGTTTTTCAACATTTATACAGTAGTAATTTTCAAAAACCCTAAGAACAGAGACGTTGTGACTCTTACCCAAAGGAAACTGTTATTAAGCCCATAAAACAATCAAGCTTTTCTTCCCATGTTTTCAACAAATATCGAGTGCTCACTAGGTGCCAGGCATTGTCCTTGAAAATACGGTAAACCAAAGAACCTACCCTCATGAAGCTTATATGCTACTGAAGGAGAGAGAAAATGAACATGAAAAAATAAAATAAAATAAAGAACACAGTTACAGGGGCCAGCCCCATGGCACAGTGGTTAAGTTCAGCACACTCCACTTCAGTGGCCCAAGTTCTCGGGTTTGGATCCTGGGTGCGAACCTATACCACTCATCAGCCACGCTGTGGTGGTGTCCCACACACAAGATAAACAAAGACTGGCACAGATGTTAGCTCAGGGCTAACCTTCCTCAAGCAAAAAAAGAGGAAGATTGGCAACAGATGTTAACTCAGGGTGAATTTTCCTCAGCACAAAAAAAAAAAAAAAAAACCAATATAGTTACTATGAAGAAGATAACGCAGGTTAAGGGGATATAGAGAAAGTATATTTATGTATGTTGGGTGCTCTACTTTAGAAAGCCTGGTCAGATAGCCCTCTCTGAAAGAGTGATATTTAAATTAGGTCTTCAATTATGTAAATGAGCCAGCCATGTAAAGATTTAGGTGGGGAAGCCAGTTCTATTCTTCCAGTATAAAGAACTTGAGGTAGAAATGAGTGTGGCGGGCCGGCCCCATGGCTTAGCGGTTGAGTGCGTGCGCTCCGATGCGGACTGCCCGGGTTCGGATCCCGGGCGCGCACAGACGCACTGCTTCTCCGGCCATGCTGAGGCCGCGTCCCACGTACAGCAACTCGAAGAATGTGCAACTATGACATACAACTATCTACTGGGGCTTTGGGGGAAAAATAAAAAAAAATAAAAAAAAAAAGAAATGAGTGTGGCAGTTAAAAGAACTATAAGGCAGCTAGTATGGCTGGAGCAAAGCAGAGGAGTAGAAGGATCTAAGGTCACAGAAACACACAGGGCAAGATAATGAGGGGCTTTATAGGTCACGGTTAGGAGTTTGGGATTTATTTTAAGTATAATGAGAAGAACTGTGGGGTATAAGCTGGAGAGTAGCATGATTCAATTTATATGTTTTAAAAAATAAACCTGGCTGCTAGCTGGAAAATGGACTGTAAGGGGGCAGGGAGACCAGTTAAGAGGCTACTGCAGTAGTCCTGGCAAGAGATGATGGTGATTAGAACAGAGTTATAAGGAAGTGGGGAGTAAGCAGAGGTTGGACTTGAGACTTATTTATTTTTTGCTGAGGAAGATTCGCCCTGAGCTAGATATCTGTTGCCAATCTTCTTCATTTTTTTTTTTTTGGCTTGAGGAAGATTAGCCCTCAGCTAACATCTGTGCCAATCTTCCTCTATTTTGTTTGTGGGTCACAACCACAGCATGGCTGATGAGTGGTATAGGTCTGCAGCCAGGATCCGAACCCTCAAACCTGGGCCACTGAAGCGGAGTGCGCTGAACTTAACCACTACGCCATGGGGCTAGCCGCTTGAGATTTATTTTTTACCTATGATATACGATATGAATTTGACAACGATCTACCTATTGGTTGTTTGATACTTAGGGAACAACTATAGATAAATGGCCTCATGTGGCAGAAGGAACACAGTCTTCATAGCCACAAAGGCCTGGTTTGGAATCTCAAGGGCTTCCTCCACTCACCAGCTATTTGATTCTGAGCAAGCTACTTCACCTCTGTGCACCTCTGGTGGGGAGGTAGGGAAAAAGGTAAAGTGTGTCAATGACTTTGCAGAATTACATGGAATCCTGTGTGTAAGGCACTTAGCAGAGACCCTGGCCCATGGTAAAAAATGATAGCCGTGATTATTATGGGCTCCAGAGCCTCACGTGTTAGATACAGACAGAAACTCGAGGGGTCTGAGGAAGATGAGAGCACCTTACTATGTGAAGCAATTACTCTGATATACCACAAGCATGCTGGTGATGGCCGGGACCAAGGCTGGAACAACATGGGAAGAACACACTTGAAGGAGTCAAGTACGCAGCAGCTGCTCAGTGAGGATTTCTTTCTTTTTTCCTTTCTTCTTCCCCCTTCCTTCTTCCTTTCTTTAGCTCTACTCCCTCTCCTTCCTTCTGTGTCTTTTTTCTCTCTCCCCACCTGCCCCATCCATTTCTCCTTTCCCTCCCCTTTCCTTCTTTCTATCATTTCATAGACATTTAATAAGTGCTTGTTACATGCCCAGCATTGTTGGAGGAACTGAGAGTACGACAGTGAACAAGTCAGACCCAGTCCCTGTCCTCACTGAGTTTACATTCTTCCAGTGGAGGAGAAAAAGAAGTAAACAGACAAAATAATTGTATATATTAGAAAGCAAACAAAAAGAGGAACATACTTCAGGTAGGGCAGTCAAGGGATGATGTCTCTGAGCAGATGAATTTAAGCTAAGACCCAATGAAAGGAAGAAAAAGGAGACAGCCATTCAAAGAGAAAATTGCAAAGATCCTGAGAAAGAAAAGAGCTTGGTATGTTAAAAGAAAGTAAAACAAGACCAATGTCACTAGAGCACAATAAGTGGGGGGAGAGTGACAAGATATGAAATTAGAGAACCAGGCAGGGACCAGACATGCAGGCCAAAGTATGAAATTTGGGAAGCCACTGAAATGATTAAACAGGGAAGTGAAATAGTTTGATTTGTGATAATTCTTACAACGGTGTGCAGAATGAATTTGGGGGGCGGGGGCAGTGCCAGAACAGAGGTGGGGAGCTAGTTAGGAGGCTGCTGGAGTAGTCCAGATAAGAAGTGATGGTGGTCTGGACTATGGTGGAGGCATAGTGGAGATGGAGAGAAGGAAGTGGATTCAAAACACATTTTAGAGAGAGAATCCATAGGCCTTACTGCTGGGAATGAAGGAGATCTAAGGGGGAGGGAAAAGGGCAAGGACGATTCAGGTGTTTGGCCTGAATAACTGAGGGGATGGTAGTGCCATTTATTGATAAAAGGAAGAAGGTAGTGGAGTAGAGAGGATCATAGTTCCGTTTTAGGTACATTAAGTATGAGATGTTTGTGAGACAAGAAGGCAGATGGATACGAGAGTCTGGAGCTCAGAGGAGAGGTCTGGGCTAGAGATAAAATGAACATAATCATCAGCAGAATGAAAGTATTTGAATCCATGAGCACTGATAAGCTCACCTTGAGGGAATGAAAGAGAAAGAAAAGAGCCCAGGACAACACCCTATGGAAGTCCATTATTTAGAGGTCTGGGACAGAAGGGGAAGCAGCAGTCAGTGATGCAAGAGGAAAATCAGTAGAGCAAGATGTCACAGAAACTGAGAGGGGAGAAAGAATCGGGAAGGAGGAGTAAATTATGTCAAATGCTGCCAAGGGTCAAGTACGTGCTGGAGTTGACAACATGGAGAGTACAGGTGACTCTGACAAAAGCAATTATATGGAAGTGATGGAAGGCAGAAGTCAGATTATAGTGAATTACGGAGTAAAAAGGAGAGGAAAATAGAGACAGTGTGGCTCTTCTAAGACATTAATTCTAGGGGAACAGTGAAATGGAGTTGTCTCTGGAGGGGAGTGCGGTTTCAAGGAAAGTTTATTTTTGTTTTACGATTAACATATAGAGCATGTCTGCCTGATGATGGTGATGAACCAGGGAAAAGGAGAGAAGTCTTGAGAAAGGGACGGGAGATGAGATGAGATCTAGTGACCTGTGATAGGAAAACGAGGAGACTCAAGGGAAGAAAAGAGGATGAGATGGGTGCAATTCTACATAGGGCTATAGGTCTCAGGATAGAAAATGAGGGAGTTTGGGTCTAATGGCTTCTATTTTTTCAACCATGTATAAGGCGAAGTGATCGGCTGAGACTGAGGGTGAAATGTATGGGAGGTATGGGAGGTCTAAGAAGCTGAAAAGGGAGCCTACTAGAGGAATCATGTTAATATCACAAACAAGGAATGGAACCTAAGCTTTTGCCATGCTGAAATCTGTGCAGTTCTTGGAGCATGGCATGCTACTTCATACTTCCATGCCTTTACCATTGTTGCTCCCTGTGTTTGGAATACCTGTCTTAGCAAACTTCACTTTACGCTTCAAGATCCAGGCCAGGAAACTCCTTTTCTGTGAAACCCTACTAAATGCCAGTTTCTCAAGAACAGATACCGTAACTTTTTAAAAAAATAATCTTTATATCCCCAGTTCTCGGCACACGACAGGTATTCAGTAAATAGTGACCGAATGGAACTGAAATTACACTGAATTCTCCCTTACCTAAATCCTAATTTTTTCCTGTTCCATTTAGAGCTGAATTATCCATGGTACACCATCTTCTCAGACAAAAGTCTGAATAAGTGACCTAAAATTAAGTGGCCACAACTAGCCCTCCACAAGCCAATTTCATTTCATTAATGGTCCAGCTTTTCAGCTTTTAATTATCATTGTGCCCTTCTCCAAACTTGCTACTTCTTTTTTTTCTTTTCTTTTTTCTCCTCAAAGCCCACAGTACATAGTTGTGTATCCTAGTTGTAGGTCCTTCTAGTTCTTTTATGTGGGACGCTGCCTCAGCATGATTTGATGAGCGGTGAGTAGGTCTGCGCCCAGGATCCAAACCGGCGAACCCCGGGCCACTGAAGCAGAGCGCGCGAACTTAACCACTGCGCCACTGGGCCAGCCCCTAAGCTTGCTACTTCTTAATCATTTATGATAAAACAATAACTGATACTAGTAGGACTTGTCAGTGTACGAAGTATCTTGATACTTCATGGGCAGAGTTCAGACATGTACCCACAGGTCACAGAATTCTATCTTGCTTGTTTTAAAAAGCTCATCAGCTAATAATGATTAACCAACTTTTCATCTGGATTAGAAAAAAGTTAATACAGTAGTCCCC